AGAGGAGTCACAGGAGGAGCAGAATGGCTTCTCAGAGAATTCTTCTCATGCTTGAGCAGTGCAGAGCCACAGTATGTATCTTCATATGATCCATCCTCCCTGCCTTTGCTGCGTGGTAGTTTGGTAGCAGAAGAGAGCTTATGTCACACTGCTCAGCCCTTGGCGATTCTGGACTGCGTCACCACTCAAGTCAGCTGGAGCAGCTACTTGCTTCAATTTATGTTGGGGACCGCTTTGGCTTATCCAGCTGGCCCAAAATACCTCAGTTAGCCCAGAAGATGCAAAACCAGCTCCACTCTCCTATCCTTCCTGGAGCTTGTCTTGTGTGCATCTCTGGGACACACAGAATATAACCTGTCTCTAAGTCTCTGTTTCAAATTCCACAGAATTTTAAATCCAGGATCTTGCTCCTCTGTCTCCACCCTAGAAACATGGTTTGAAGTGTTTTACAAAGGACTGCTCCTAAAACATTTTAAGGAGATGATCTTTCCAAGCTTTGGACAGGAGTGGTGATTCCTCACTGACAGAATTCTCCAGGAAACACAAGATCATTTATTAATTTAGACCATTATGGAGTCTGAGTCCCAGGCCTATTGTACTTTAGTGCTTCGCCGCTCACAGAACCTCAAAGCCCTGGGGACTGGCCGTGGGTGGGGGACCCAGGGCGGTAGCCGGTTTCTGCTCCGCGGGGCTCCCTCCTCGGCCTGCAGCCCGGCTGGCTGCGACTAGGTGGCAGCACTCCACTGGGCAACCGAGCCCTGCGTTCACACCAGCACCCTTCAGCTCGCAGAGAAGCCAGCTTGCATATTCCAACTTACAGAAAAACAGAGGGTAAATAAAAGTCACCAAATCCTCCCCAAGTCTTACACTAGGGCTGTGCAGAACAGCTGGAAAGCTCCAAGTGAATGGAGCTGTTCTTTTGCAATGAAATCCAATACCACACAAAAATCACCCTGGTCTGGACATCAAAAAGGGAAGAAAACCAGAAATAATTCTGCAGTAATTTTCTCAAGGGCTCAAGCTGTTCCTCCAGACAAAGCTCACAGTTCCTATATCCACCTGGATTTGGAAACAACTCTGTCGAGGCAGATGCAGCATGAACAGTTCAACGAAGCTTTTGTCATTTTTGCTTAGTTTTGTCTCGAACATGATGAGATAACATCGTCTCTCACAAGTCAATTTTATGAGGATCTGTCAGCACAGTTCCCATCTGTTCTGGAAAATAATCCTTTTCAGGTTAAGGTAGGATGTGGAGTCAAATCCACAGAGCACAGATTTAAATTGAAACATTTGAAGGCCCTTGCTATTGCCAGGCAGCGAGGGGAGGATTTGCACTTGAGCTTCCATGGCAAGCTGGTTTCTGTTTCAAATCTTTCATGAACAGTTATCATTTATAAATTACAAAGTATATGAAGCAAAGAGGAGAAGATGGAAGAAGTAGTACAGTGTATGAAAATGTAGTTTGTGCAGTACTAGGGAGGTAGAGCAGGCAAGAAGAAAACTAGATTCATTAAGTTAAAGGTATTCATTTACAATGATAAAATGTGAATAAAGCCTGGTAGGAGAAAGGAGGGCACTGCTTAATGTAGAAAATTAGAATCAGAGCATTAGTGTGGCATGAGACAGGCAAGAAATCCCAAAGCTGATTTCATACAGTGCTCAGAGTTGATCATTAGAGCTTGAAAAGGTCAGGCTATGCACTCTGGTTTGACTCTTTACCTGTATATATAGATACACAACTGCTGTTGCTATTAAACACCCAGCACTTGGCACTGCACCCTCTGCTACACGCTCCTGAAAAGCAAATGTGTCTAACCCTGAAGCTGACAGACCTGGGACAGCTTCAACAGCTACTTCCTGAGCTCCGGGCACCAGCCTCACAGCTGCTGCTGGGGATGTCTGCTGAGAGCTGCCAGCCCCTCCTGGAGCTGAGCACTGAGCTTCACCTCACAGCCCTTCCAAGCCAAAAGACTGAAAGTGGCAGCATTTGCACCAAAACTACAGAGGCATTAATGCTGATTTCCTTCAATAATGGTGACTTATTTGTATCCTTATTTCAGCACCCTCCTCAGAATCCTGAATGTCCCCCTAATGAAAAAATACTTGTTTCTGCTTGTGTCCCGCCCCTGTCGATAGTGAAGAAAACAAAACTTGCCTCCTTATTGTCCACTGTTCTCCTTTTCAACTTTTACTTATATTTACAAAGAATACAAAGAGCTCTTCATTACTCAATTACTAAGTGAGCCAGGAGTGATCTAAAACTTCACAGACTGTGCTATATAGAAGGATTCTTGTGATTTTTTCCTCAAGTACCTCTCTCAGCCCTGTTTGCAGCAAGCATCTGACAAGAGGGAAGCTGTCTGGTTAGGGCAATGCCTTCCCTCTGCTCCAGAAATTTCTGCCCAGATTTAGCTGACCTGGGAAGAGTTAAAGACTGTTACATCCTTTTTTTTTTTTTTTTTTCCCCTGTTTGTGTTCCTCAGAAAATGTTGGTACTTTGCTGAAATCACTGAACGTAACAAAAGCAAAGCCAGCCTTACAGCTCTGCCAAAGCAGCAGCTGCAGGTATTGGATAGAGGACACCTCTGAACCTTCAGAACGAGCGTTTGTAGGAACATGTGTGTGGAAGAGGGGAGAGCTGGCTTCCCACCCCCAGCCCACTCTAGTCCTACCATCCCATCCTTCCATGGCAGCAACATCTAACATGAGAGCTCCTCCAGCTCACACTGCCCTCCTAAACCCATTCTCTCCCAAAAGTGAACATGGCACCAAGCCACCACTTTCTTTCCTTCCAAGAGAAAGTTAGGGAAGTATTTTCCTGGCTGATGTCTGTACTGTGTTAGTGACAGCCTGAGGTTTCAAACCCCACTGTGCACCAAAGGCTACTGTGTCCTTCAGAGCCAGACTCACCACATACAGAAGAAAAAAACCGAGAAGGAACTGGAAACTACCCTGATCTACTCGATGGGTTTCTGTGAAACGGTGATGTCAGAGCAGAAGCATACACGTGTGGGGGGCGGGGGGCTAGTGAGGATTAGCTATACCCTGACACCAGAGCTGCCTCACTCTAGATGTGCTTTGCTCCAGCATGGTTAGGAGCCAGTGCTACCCTGTCATGTGAGACTCGAGCCCTGTGCTGGCCACTAGGCACACAGCTTTGCTCATCTTCCATGGATCTGAGCATCAGGGAGCACCAGGGACTGAACACAGTCTCTCTTGTCAGCAGAGTTCCCTGGAGCAAAGAAAAGCTGTTGGTGTGGGGGGCTGTGAATGCCTTTTGCTTTCAGAGAAGAAAGAGGGGTGAATGAGAAGTGGGTTAAGAAGCAGGGGGATGAAGAAAGGGGTGTGGAGAAAGAGAGGACTCTCCAAACATCAAATTTTTTGCTGCTCTGAAGCCTTTGCCAAAAAGGTGAGGTTCTCCACAGCCACACCCTGACCCTTTTGCAGAATCAGGTTGCCACAGGAGAGAGGTTAGTAAGGAAAGATGGGGCTAGACAGCCCTGCCCCTTTTCCCAAAAAATAACTGCTTGACTGAAAAATTCGTTGCAGGTATCATGATACTTCTCTGTTACCTGTCATGAAAGATTCAGACGGTACCACTCATCACTAGCTTGGCCCTGTATTTTCCAAAGATGGTTATAGAATCATAGAATCATAGAATCATTTAGGTTGGAAGGGACCTCCAAGATCATCAAGTCCAACCATTGAGCCATTAGGGCTCTAAAGTCCTCTGCTAAAACAGATCAGAATCTGTCAGGGCTGGAAGGGACCACAAGGATCCCCCAGTTCCAACCCCTCTGCCATGAGCAGGGACACCTCCCACTAGATCAGGCTGCCCAGAGCCTCCTCCAGCCTGGCCTTAAAGACCCCCAGGGATGGGGCCTCAACCCCCTCCCTGGGCAACCCATCCCAGGGGCTCACCACTCTCATGGGGAAGAACTTCTTCCTCACGTCCAGCCTGAATCTGCCCACTTCCAGCTTTGCCCCATTCCCCCTAGTCCTGTTGTTACTCGAGATCCTAAAAAGTCCCTCCCCAGCTTTCTTGTAGCCCCCCTAAGATACTGGAAGGCCACAATAAGGTCACCTCGGAGCCTTCTCTTCTCCCGACTGAACAGCCCCAACTCTCTCAGTCTGTCCTCCCAGCAGAGCTGCTCCAGCCCTCGGATCATTCTCGTGGCCCTTCTCTGGACACGCTCCTGCAGCTCCACGTGTTCTGTCATGCTGACTGCATTAGCATTCCCGTTTGTACTAATAATGTCTTTTACAGCGGAACTCCCCATGGGGGAAAGAAATCTTTGCAGCTACCCATTCAAATCTTCAAAGAAGAACCTTGAAGAGCACTCCCAGAGAGCATGGGAAAGTCGGGAACAGGGGATAATGCTTAAAAGCTGGATTTCCCCTTTTTCCATCCAGACGTGTACCACCATTTTGTTACCATTTTTTTTGCAGTTATGTAAAGCTCCCTGAGTGTGGAAGAAAGATTATCCGTCCTTCCATCCTGTTGGAATGTCTACTGGTTTCTTTAAAAAGTTGTGAATCAAACTAACCCATTAACCTGCAATACAGATTGCAGCCTTAACCCCTGGCAATGAAGAGATTGGGGTGGAGGAAGATGGGGGTGCTGCTGGGGGCTGCATGCTCCTATAGCATACACTTTTTAGGCATGTTTTTCAAGCCAAATGCCTGACCTTTGCTAGCAGACACCATTCTCAGCATTTTGGAAGCCAAATGCCAAACCTCTGCTAGTGTTACATAGCAAAAATCCCCAGGAAATGCCAATTTATACTGCTGGTAAAGCTGGTAGATTTTAGCTGTGGAATCATACTATTTAGAGAAATAATAAATCACTCAAGAAGCCATGTTTCCTCCCCTTGAGCAGACACTTTTTCTTTCGTTTCCGCTGTGAAATATTCCACAACCCACACAATCATTAAGTCACTAGGTTTTTACAGGAACTTCTGTGGTAAAAGCAAAAAAAATTCCATCCAAACCAGCTGACACAAAGCTGTGTGCATGTCCTGTGGCTGCTCATTACTGACCCCGATTAAGAGCCGTGCACTGCTCTCTGCATTCCCTTCTAAATGGAAAGTGCCGAGTTCTATTACGTGTATTACTTGGCTCAAGACTATCTGCAGTATGTGCTTCAGGAGTCACATCTTGGACCAGCCCAAACCAGGGTTGCTCATGTCTTGCGGAACATCGCGTATTCGCTGCAGGACCAGACCGAGGAGGCTCTCAGACCGTTCCTGGACAGGATTGATATCACCTCTGTCGCTGTTGCCAGGAGAATTTTCAATGGCGTCATGGAAGAAAAATTTGCTGATGGAAATACTAATTGGGGACGAATTATGACCATATTTACCTTTGGAGGTCTTCTCACTAAGAAGCTTCAAGAGCATGGAGTCCAACTCACTGTTGAGGAGAAGGAGCAGATTTCTTATTTCATCACAGAGTACATCATAAACAACAAAGCCGAATGGATAGATGCGAATGGTGGCTGGGTAAGTTTCTCATTTTCCACCAAAGTCTAGATTAGGAGATTTTGTTTAATTAAGGGCAACTATTGTTACAGACACTGTCCAAAACATTTTATTCAGGGTTTTATTTGGTGCTTTAATATTTGATGGCTGGAACGTCTCCTTGAGATTCACAGTCAAAGCTTTGCTTCTGCTTTAAACAGAACAATGCTAAGAGACAACTTTCTTTTTAAAAAGGCATTTTCTGTATCTGTAACACAGAAAAGTTTAGATTTAGTCTTGAATCATAAGATCATACAACAATTCAGGGAGGGAGGTACCTTAGGAAAACATCTGGCCCAGCCTCCTGCTCAAAGCAGGTTAAACTATGCATGCCATGAAATTTCCCATTATTAAAACTAAAATTAAGTGGCATCCTAAGGTTAGTGCAGCAGTTTTGCTTCCATAGAGGAATCACTCCAAAATACTGAAGTTCAAGGTAAGGGATGAATACAAAAGTGTGATCCTCACAGCTGAAGTCAGTGCTTTTGCTGTGGACTTCAACAAAGCCATTACTTAATCCCCCAAATCAGTTTTACTTAAACAAATTTACAAGTAAGTGCAATGGGGGTTAAATCTTTTGTGTTTGGACTGAGATAATCCTAGAACTTGCATCAAAGCTCAGCACTGAGGAAAGCATTTATCAATATGTAGATTATTTTGCCCAGCTGCTGAAATTGCCTTCTGGCAGTGGAGGGGAGGTCCATTTTACTTTGCAGAGTTTCATCACGCCAATAGTTTTTTCGTTTGCATTTAAGGGAAGCTGAGAATCAAGTACATCAAGTGTCAGTTTTTTCCCTGGTACTTTTTTCCTTCACCTATATGTAAATGTTACTTTCTCTTTCCACTCCTCTCTTCTCCCACTTCTCTTATATTTCCCATTTGCTATTACTTTTTTTCCCTTATTTCTCATCTAGTGTCTTGCTTTTCCTTTTTCTTTTTGCTTGTTTTGATCCTTCTCTGTCTGGAAGCAGTAAGAAAAGTCAACAGTGAGTCATGGACCCTTGATGCATCAGATTTATTGCAAAGGCTTCTCTCTCCACCTCTTTCAAATAGACAATTTTACTGAAGAGAAACATCAACTCCTGGCAACAGTCTGTTGTAAGGCGTGGGTTATCATAGTAGAATAAGGAGGCTTAAAGGGAGATATTTGTATTACTACCTCAGAAACATAGTACTTGTATCTTCCTTGAAGATGTGGGCTCAGATGATACAGTTCATGTTCATTTTCTATTTATGCAGGGAGGGCACAGTCTTGACTTGCAAATAAAACAAACATTCAGCAAGGTGCAGCTATTTTCAGCTACTATTTATAAAGCCCTATTCATCTTTTGGAGGCAGAGCTCTGAAAACCTGTCCCTCTGTACACAAATGATGTAGCACTCTGCTAATTTGATACTAGCAGAGTGTGGTACATTTCTCCTACACATTATTTTTAAGCTGTCCTTAACTGTGCATGTTCTTTTCCACAGGAAAATGGCTTCCTAACAAAGTTTGAAAGAAGATCACTACTGTCTTTCTCCAAACTTACAGCCATGTTCATAGCTGTGTTTTCCTTGTTCAAAAAGTACTACTGAAATAAATGGACCTGCCACTCCTATCTGATCTATATGTTGCCACAAGCTTCATTGCTAAGCTTTCCTCCAAGCAATATCAACAAGAAAAGAATTTTCTTCCGTAATTTCTTAACTTATTTCTATTTATTTTGACTTAATACAATGTTTAACACGCTATCTTAATTGACAAACCTGAAGATGAGATCCCTCCAAAGAGGAATTGAGACAGCATCATGCAGCAACTCAAGCTAGCCTTTCCCGGCAGGACTGCTTCCAGAGAGATCATTCTCCACATCCAGACAGCTCTTGGAATCTCTGTTGCACCTCCATGGAAGGACATTGTTTTACTGAAATACAATCCAATGGGTTAAGAAACAAGTTGTTATGTCATTTGTTTTGTAAATGAAATACTACTGTAATGCATTTTATTGCAACCTTTGAATAAGCAAAAGTGTGTGTGTAGGGGGGTTGTCTATGAAGAAAAATTAAATACAAATGCCAGTGTAAAAGTGAGCACCAGTTACTGACACAGACTAAGCAATTTTTATGAGAAGAACAATTTCTGGAAGGCAGCAACTTAAAAATGTGCACTCACTTACTGTTAATACAATGGTATGTGTTTCTTTGTACTTTTTTAATTGCTCATATCTACAGTAAATGTTCTTTCAGATTTGTGTAATGCAGTCATCTGGCTAAACTATTTTTTAACTAGATGTTTTAAAACAGGCAAGCACAAAGTATTTTTAAAATTACGAATTTATGTAAATAATATCTAAAAAAATACATTAAGTATGTATTTTAAAGTCTTATGATTAGTCTCATTTCTTTCAGAAAAATTGGAAGATGGGAAAAGGTCTACCTGAGTGAGATAAGAACTCTTGGCAAAACTATCACAGTGGCACTGGGGAATCCAAGTAGTATGTAGGTTTGAGCTGAAGTCCATGGATATCAATATTGTAATTTTCTGTAGTACTTTTTAAGAATTATTTGGTAGCTTGCATAAAAAATCAACAGCTTGTGGGAAAATAAATGAGCTGGATCAGCTCTGATGACAATCATTAGTGGTTTGGGATACACTGCAAAATGCAGCCAATTCACAAGTAGGACCTCACAGACTTCCAGACTTTAATAGTCTGGGGCAGTTTTTTTTTAAATCAAATTCTATATGCTTTCAAAGGTTAAAGAGTAGTCCTTCAAGAATTCATTCTACAAGGGTTTTCTTTAGCTGCAGTGATGCTCCTATATTAGGGAATTAAGGCTGGGTCTAAACATTCTTGTTTTGTAGACACATTGGGAGGTGAACCAAAATGGGGCAGCAGTTGCCTGTGGCACACAACAGCATTATTCTCTTGAGACAAATCATCTAGACAATCAAGACTTTATGGTACCAGAAGAATGAAGCAGCCTCCTTCTGGTAATGAGTTCTCCATCTTTCATCTCAGTGTAAGAAATTTTTTTACAGTAAGAACAACTCCTCCAGGGACGTGATAGAGCCCCCATCACTGGTGGTTTCCAAGTGACTGAACAGAGTGCTAGATATCTTTAGCTAGGCTCCCTTTCCCATGAAAGGCTGGACCACATGATCTCTTGAGGCCCCTTCCAACCTGGGTTGTTCTGTGATTCTGTGGTCTTGGTGATTCTTGGTGAGTTTAACTACAGACCACAAACAGACGTTAACATTTGCTAGAAACTGTACTGCTCCCAGTTGCTCTTTCTCTGCCTCTCCCTCTACTTCCCCAATGAAAAGAAGAAAGATTAGTTACAGCACATATACCAGGACTTCTGAGATAAACTGTTGCTGTTGAAGAAAAGATAGCAGCATCCTGAAGGCAAGGGGCAGCTAAAGGAAAATGCTCACCTCCAAAACACCTACAGAAGTTCCTGTCAGAAATGACATTTCAAAACCTACTTGGACATAAATTTATTTGCAGTTTACATTTTCATGACAAGAACAGTAGTCATAACTCAGTTCCTTCTTGTTCACTATTGTAAGTGCATATTGTAGTGGCAACCACCAGTCTATTAATACCACATTCACTTCCTTTTACATTAAGCTAGTCATCTATTTTATACTGGGGAGTAAATTTTTTCAATTAAACATAAAAGGCTAACTTAAGCCTTTTTAAAATCCAGGTGCTGCAATAATTTTAGAACTTGCCTTCACGGGAAGGCCTAGGTTTAAACAACAAAAGCTTGGTCCATTAATGGTCCAGTGTGGTCCAGATTATCTTTACTAGGACAGAACCTCCATTTGCTCTGCATTTAAGATAGAGTGATGAGATATGTCACCCAGGTCCTAAACATAATTAAATGTATGAAAACAACAAGGCTATTTACTAAGTCTTATAAAATAGTACACATTTGAGTTGTTAACTGCCATGCAGTTATCTGCACGTGACACTGAGAAGTGTCCCAGGTCCAGGGGCACTGCTGTTGGAAGGGATCCTTACAGCTGTCAGGCAATAAACGAACACAAGGGCTGCTTCTAGAGCAAAAGATGAGGTCAAAGATCTGCAGAGTGGGACAGCTGACACTTCATCAATGCACACAGTAGCTAAATTGAGATGTCATCAAATACCACGTAGAACAGATTTATGAGACAACTGTTGTCCTACAGAAATGTCCTTTTCTGCACTTAAAGGTGGGTTGGTTCATCAAACGTGCCCAAAGGAAGCCTCCAGTGCCTGCCCTTGGACACGGCTGGGCAGG